GTTTCGTTAGCTTCTTTAAACAATGGATAGTCATGTGTTTCGTTAGTTTCTTTAAACGATATCTATATTCATGTTTTTTCACCATTTCTAAACAATACCTATTAAACACAGTCAATGTTTCGTCAACGTATGACAAAAATACTCTATTGCTTTGTCAACTGTAAACAAGTGTTAATCATAACGATTCTCAACTTCTTGAAACAGTAGCTAAAGCTATTATTTGTTTAAGAAAACTTCTTTCAACAATTGTTACTTATATATTTTGCCAACTTCTTTGAACAATAGCTAGTCATATACTTTGTCAACTTATTTAAACAATAGTTATTTAGATATTTTGCCAACGTCTTTGAACATCAGCTAGTTATGTAATTTACCAACTTCTTTGAACAATAGCTAGTCATATACTTTGCCAACGGCAAAGTATATGACTAGCTATTGTTCAAAGAAGTTGGTAAGTTATATAACTAGCTGATGTTTAAAGAAGTTGGCAAAGTATATGACTAGCTATTGTTCAAAGAAGTTGGTAAATTACATAACTAGCAGCTGTTCAAAGAAGTTGGCAAAGTATATGACTAGCTATTGTTCAAAGAATTTGGTAAGTTATATAACTAGCTGATGTTTAAAGAAGTTGGCAAAGTATATGACTAGCTATTGTTCAAAGAAGTTGGTAAATTACATAACTAGCTGATGTTCAAAGACGTTGGCAAAATATCTAAGTAACTATTGTTTAAATAAGTTGGCAAAGTATATGACTAGCTATTGTTCAAAGAAGTTGGTAAGTTATATAACTAGCTGATGTTTAAAGAAAACTTCTTTGAACAGCTGCTAATGACATGAACTCCTATAAACAGCAACTATGTTTCGTTAACATCTTTTATATCATCAACGAATGTTATAATAAACTAGTTTTGTGCAATATAAATGTCTTTATCTTAAAATACAAGACAAGAAGTTTTTAAAAAAACAGTAGAATAGCGTATTTAGGGTACGGTTGTGGCGATCGGATATTAATCGTTCTCATGGTTAGTAGTCTATAAGATCACTTAAATATAATTACTAATTATTGTTTTTTTTTACAGTTATGTACCGATTACTGACTACTTTTTATCTTATGATTCGGCTGCTAATCTGCTGTCGTCTTCAGTATAGTCTTCAGAGGGACTACTTCTCTGTTAGCTAGGATTCAATCCTGGGTTTTCTTGATAGAAGACTGGGACTTTATTACAAAGATTGTTGAAACAGATTATAAACAGTTTCTTCTAAACAATTACAGAAATATCAGCATTTCATTATTATGGTTAGTAGCCCGTAAAATCACTGAAGTTTAATTTTGAATAAATAGTATTTATCGAGAATCTTTAATATTGATTTTTCTGCACGAGACCATCATGCAACTTAACCAAGTGAAACAACGCTACACTAATGAGATATGAAGTGTCCAGAAGATGAAAAAAAAACAGCTGAATACTAGATTTCCACATCTTTCTTCACATTATAATAAACCTAGCATAAAAGTAAGAAAAACCTGGAAGCTCCTAACACAGTTGCCCTTATAATAAGATGACCCAGGTTTGAATCCCAGTTCCTATCACTTCATACAGCGCTTCTCTGTATGACAGCAACATAAAAACCGTAACGTATGGTAGAAAAATATTTGGTATTTAGAAATTAGTAAATGAAAAAAGCTAACACTAGTAATGGACTTAGGTGATTATATAGAATAATAACCATAACAAAGACAACCAACTTTAACATTAACACTAGTAATGGACTTAGGTGATTATATAGAATAATAACCATAACAAAGACAACCAACTTTACTTATATATTCATTTCATAACTATTAACATTTATTCGTTTATGATGTTTTGGAAAATTAATGTAGAATAAACGTTTCGAGTCTCGGATCCTTCGACTTGCTAATCACTAGGCCACGCTCGGCTTAGAAACTTCTATTTTGTTTTGACTTCTAACCTTCATTTTGGTATACTCACGTTTTGATTTCTAGCTTTCCATTTTATGTTCAAGTTTCCATTTTTAACTTTCTGTCAAATACAAAATCTATATCTGTCTAGAAAGGAAATACACAAGAAATTATTGTATTCAAGTTAAAGAATGTTATGTATGCATCTGTTCGGTTATTATTTACTTATTTAAGTTTATAACTCGTCTTCAGAATATTTGGAGACAGACCTACCTTCACTCTCAGACTGACACCCCTCTTGATAATTCTCCATCTCCTCTCGAGTACTACTTTCCAACTCTTCATTATCAACAGTATTGTTGTCAGATGTTACCGACCATTGATTTGAGCAGGATGGATGTTGTAGCCAAACATGTGAATCCGATACTGAGCAGGATGTGCCACCAATATTATACGATTTGCAGTTTTTTTCATAGAGCTTGGGGAACGTGGCATGAGTAAAAACCCTTCTACTAACCATTGTCCAGTCTTGACCAGAAGGCAAGGAATGTTTTCCGGAAAGCAAATTTTCAATAAAGAAATCAGATGTCACTGTGGAAGAGGTCTTCATTCGATTAACCTTCAGTTCTTCTGTTCGGTTAGTTTCATTCTCAGAGTTGTAGTTGTTCATCCTTCTTATTGGTTGCTAAATTTGACCCCTGAAGAAACGATGCCTCTAATAGAGATATCGTTTTCTCACGTTAATCTATGCTGTCACCAAAGCTCATGACATAATTGTATAAGTTTCTCAGTCCTTTTCGTTTTTGAACTATTTGTCTCGTTATGATTTGACGTTTAGCGTCACTGTGACATCGTCTCCACCCATTTGTTTGCCTGGCCTTTCAGTGGTTGACTTACTGTGGCCCGTCTTCGACAGTACGTGGTAGCACTTGTGTATCTGCTATTAGCCTCTTGTAATCACTTTGACATCCGGAAAATGATGAATTGATTCAAAAAGTGTTTAATGGTCTGATGCAATGTGAAATGGGTAATTAAATGGTGGGTCTATTTGAGAGACGGCTTGGGACTACTCGTTAATTAAGTCTCGGTCTGTGAAGTTGAAACCAGATGAAGCACGTCATCCTGTCACCACGCTTGGTATATAATATCTGGTGGCGGGGTTAGGAATCATAAACAGGAACCAAAAAATAACTTATTAATCTGTTCGCCTCATATCAGATACCATTTGGATACTATTTTAAAAAGCTCAACAAAACCCGCACTTTTAGCGATTTTTAAATTATTGAATAACGTAATTAATAATTTCCTTCCTCTCTGTGTATTTCTCTAGAGGGCGTAAGTTTAGCTACCTTGTTATTACATCCAATTTAATAGACATTCTAATGTAAAACACTTAAAACCACTGTTCTTTTTCTGGTGACGAACGCAGAACATTCGCCGATGGAACGTCTCTACTTTTACAGCTGTTTTAAAGTAAGCTTTTCTTGTTCTTTCTTGGAAAAAAGTATTTTCTTAACAAGAGTGCTGCGCAAGGTTTTTCTTCTCTGGAAACTGTTCACGAACTTTTACTCTATTACGCACGTATAAACAGTGCTTAAGTAGCATTAAAACTCAGATGTTCTATACTAATAAGTAGTGTTTGGTTTCGCTGTAAATTTTCTTTGCTAACTTCTTGTGGCAGAAACAAGCTGCACATTTCTATGATATATATTGTGCTGCCACCTGTCGGATACAGCACACGCTATTACTGAATTATAAAGTACTTACAGTCAAGTTGTAACGATCGGACATTAATTGTTGTCTTGGTTTGTACCCTAAACATACACGTAAGCATCTAATTATTAGTATATCACTATGTTTTTTTAATTGCTAAACATTAATTAGCAAATTTACATCCTACTTTACGGCTTTTCATCTGTTGCCGTCTTCAGGGAAGTTTTCAGAAGGACTACATTTGCGGTGGTCGTGACAAGGATCCAATTTTAGGTCCTCGTTAGGACTTGAATCAACTAACTGTTTGAATGGTTTTAAGAAAGGTTTCGTGATTTTGCCTACTTCTGCTAGGTCAACTGAGCGTATTATCAGGTAACCTAGTATTATCAGTTAGGATGTAGAAGGATTTTTTTATAGTGTGGCTCATATCCCATCAATTTCACATTAATCTATTTTATTGTTTGGTCTTCTCTGGCATGAGGGGCTATTGCAGATAAATCAGTATATTTATATCCTGCTCCTGAATTGAAACTTTTGTTGGCCTTTATGTTTCTTCAATTTACTGGAATCCGTGGACTAACTTGATTTGCTTGTTATCCTTATTACCAGATTTCCCCACTGCACGTCATCACAATTTGAAGCGACATAACGTCGACATTCCTGCGTTGTTTTCTAATACACGTGGGCTAACTTGATTTGCTTGTTATCCTTATTACCAGATTTCCCCACTGCACGTCATCACAATTTGAAGCGACATAACGTCGACATTCCTGCGGTTGTTTTCTAATATACGTGGACTAACTTGATTTGCTTGTTATCCTTATTACCAGATTTCACCACTCTCTTTGTTGGAAGGAACCTCAGATGTGACAGCTTTCGTTACTTCAGAGAGAGTTTGTCAACCCCCTGAACTCTGGGTAACAGATCAAGGAAAGTGATGTCCTGAATTTGTCAATTTTCCTCAAAGATGAAGAATATGATTCGTAACGAAGTTGCTACGTAAAAACATTCATATCTTATGATAATCTACAGACACTTTAGAGTATATGTGTTTCAAAATAAATTACCTAAAAAATGTTCAATTTATATTGAACGTAAACTTTAGTAAAGGAACTAATGAACAAAAAGTTTCATGGTAATCACGCCAACTTGTCTCACGTTAGTGTTACTAGAACTGATCAAATTATATAACAATAGCATAAAAATCATGGTAATCACGCCAACTTGTCTCACGCTAGTGTTACTAGAACTGATCAAATTATATAACAACTAGCATAAAAATCATGGTAATCACGCCAACTTGTCTCACGTTAGTGTTACTAGAACTGATCAAGTTATTTGTGATAAGTCAATTCTTCAAAGAAATTCTCCTGTTGTTAATAGGCAGATAAATCCAAGATTGCTAACTATTACGTGTCAGCTTAATGATTTTTCTAACTCGGCGATTAAACTCTTCCTTGACTGAAGTTTTTTATAATTTGTGTAAAAACTACATTATTAATTTTAATTTAATATCTGAACTTTGTCTAAATGATGCATAAAAAGCCAAAGGCGTGTTAATACACTATTACTTACTCAGAATTTATATAAAATAATTATAATCTACTAATACAAATACAGAACCAGCTAAAAGATCTTTTATCAAAAAGAAAGTTAAAAATTATATGAATTGCTTTGTCAATTTTATTAAAAAACACTATTTTTACACATTTATTGCTTTTAATACAAATAAACATTCTTGTTGAGTTCTATTCATGGTAAAGTAAACAACCATTCTTCTTGAGTCTCACTCTAAGTAAAGTAAATAACCATTCTTTCTGAGTTTCACTCTAAGTAAAACCAAGCTAGAAAGAACTCAAAGAAACAACTTAAACATCGCAATGTTTCTTCTTTTCTTTTTGCAATAAGTAGCTTAAAATATACAACAAACAAATGTAGGTCTAGTTGCCAAGCTCTTCTTTCTGGCTCAATTGATTCTTCAGTTTGATCGTTTCTCCAAATCCCAACTTGCTACCATTATAACGCGAGAAGGTTGACCTCTAGTATGATCTTGACCTTTGAGCTACCTTTAAACAATTGATCCTTTGGAGGCGCTCAACCTTTGTTCCAAATTTGATCAAAATTAGATGAAAACGTTTCACATTATGCTGTTCACACGCACACAGAGGGGCGAAAACAACATCCCCTTTGTTGAGTGTGGATAATAAAAAAGAATAAAAAATTGAACACAGATTTTGTGGCAAATAAAACAAAAACTTCTTTTTGTTATAAATTGTAATTATAGTTTAATTGTTATTTTTCGTGTTTCATTGAACTTATGCATACAGTTTGCCACTAAGTATATTGAAGTTTAGCCTGTCTAAATTCCTAACTAAATCTTTCTATCGTGATTTCATCACATTTCGGTGCAGTATTGAACAATTTCTTAGATAGCCTCAATCGCTAATTCATAGTGAAAGTTTGGTTTGCTCTGAATTTCGCGCAAAGCTACACGAGGGCTATCTGCGTCAGCCGTGCCTAATTTAGCAGAGTAAAGGTTTAGGTTAAGGCAGCGAATCATCAGCACCCACCGCCAACTCTTAGGCTTCTCGTTTTACCAACGAATAGTGGGATTGACCGTCACGTTATAACGCCCCCACGGCTAAAAGGGTGAGCATGTTTGGTGAGACGGGGATTCGAAGCCGCAACTCTCAGATTGCGAGTCAAGCTCCCTAACCACCTGGCAATGCTGGGCCTCATAGTGAAAGAATGTGAAATAATCTCCCTCCGAAAAAACATGATCTGATGAATTGATATATTCCAAGACTTCCTTTTAAAGCTGATTTTGATTGAGTTTGCTAATATATATCTTTCACATGTTATATTTTTCAGAGCATTTATTTTTGTGCCATTTTATCTGGCTGAGTCACAGCTTTGTACATTGTTCATTACTCAACCAAAATTATATATATATATATCTTCTCTCCCCTCCCCCCGGTATGGTAGTATAAAAGCACTTAAAACCAGTTGAGATTTTTTTAATGTCAGACATTAACAACAACAGGTCTGATAATATGTACTCAGAAAAGAGTGTCTGGCATGGCCAAGTGGTTAGGGCTCTCGACTCGCAATCTGCAGGTTGCTGGTTCGAATCCCCGTCCCACCAAACATGCTCGCCCTTTCAACCGTGGTGGCGTTATAATGTGACGGTCCATCCCACTTTCATTGATAAAAGAGTACCCCAAGATGAATGAAGATTGTTTATGGATATTATTTATACAAATATTAAGCTTTAACGCAGAAAGTGTTAAGAAATCCTAACTTCAGTATTTTTGTTGGCTACTGCCGAAATATGATATTGACCCAATACAGTCGTGTCAATGCTGTTAGCAAAAAAAAAAACTTTTATCCGAGTTAAGCCTGCTGGGCTGCTTAGTTTTCCGTAACAACTTAATTACGGCGTTGCTTATAACTACTTCTGCTATAACTTTATTGTTTGAGATGTGAAATGCAGTAATTTGTTTTACTGTATACACATGGTTTAAACGACCAGGCCTAAAACTCTTAGAGTTAGGAATAGACGTCCATAATTTTGAAGGCAGGCAGGCAGTCAGCAAGCAACCCGTGTCGTTTTGTGGACTTTGTCCAGCTTTGGACCGTAGAACGTTTAATTTATTTTTAGTTCTGTAAGATTATATTGTAGAAGATCATAACTTTTCCTGCCACCATTAAACATCTTTCCACCAAAACATTTATCGTCTTAGAAATTCTACGAACTATAATCTACTCACATTTATATATATAATATTCCAGAATAACTAAAAACAACTTATTGCATTATTCACAAAACAAGGCTAATCTTCTTTTTCCCAAACTTCCCTCAAATCAGTTGATAAGGCTTTAATGACTGCAAAACAAAACATCAAAAGCTTATTAATTCGTCTGTTCTTCTGTATTAGGGCCTGATGGCTAAAGTGTTCGAACATGCTTGATCTTTCAATCATGAGAGTATTATTATGTGAGGATCAATCCCATTTTTCATTGGTAAAGTGCAGCTTAAGAGCTGATGGTAGATGGTGTTGACT